GTCCTCCATGGCGTTGGAGCTGCGGGTGCTAGTACAAGTATAACCTCTCTCGTTCTCTCCAATAAGCATTACTCTGACCTTCACTGGACAATTAACAAGGTTGTTGAGATTGGAGATTGGAATCACCAACTTGGAGAAATCCCTCATCTCACTGTCTGAAGTTGTCCTACAAAATCGAAGAGAGTTAGAATTGCTTTTCTTACAGCAATGGGGACTCTGTGCTGCCCTTAAGGTAGAGTGCTGCTTTATACTGGAATTGTAAGGGACTAAGGTTATACTGGAATTGTAAGGGACTAAAGTTAAGGAAAACTTAGAAGAGAGAAAGAGACAGAGAGAACAAGAGGAAAGTTGGTTTCAAAATTGGTTTTCAAACTCTCCCTGGCTTACCACCCTCCTTCCTTCAATCTTGGGACCCTTGGTGGGCTTCCTTCTCCTTGTATCTTTCGGCCCATCGGCCATTAAAAGACTTACTGGCTTTTTAATACACCAAATTGACTCTCTGGCATCTAAACTCACACAAGTTCATTATCACAGACTTGATTTGGCTGACAGAGGCTTAGCTGAGCTGGAGGGAGATTGCTGACAGTACCACGACATGGGTCTTGACTGCTTGTGTTTGGCTCTCATGAGAACAGCATGAAACTCAGATAAATGCTTGCCTGTTATACCATGGGTACCTGTAAGGGGGTGCAAGATGACATTGCAAGGGGAGGGCCCAATTGCCAGCTTCTGAGTCCCCTGAGAAGCAAACTGGATTGCATAGAGGTTGGTGTCTGATTACCCCGAACCACAACCTGCTGGGAATGCCCTCAGGTTTTGATGGGGTCTACCTCTCCTCCCAAAAAAAGGCACCCAAAAAGGCTGCAAAAAGCCTTGGGAGGATCAGGTCACTACTTCCCCCCTCTGGTTAATGCCCACCATCTGCAAAAGACCTCATGTTCAAAACCTACCTGTTAGCCTCTTAAATTGTTTAAGAAGGGAGGAGAAGCCGGGAGCCAAAGCTATCCACTGAAGCCAAAGTCAAATAGTGAGCCAAAGCTATGTAGTGGAGACAAAACTATTTACTGAAGCCAAAGTCAAGTAGTGAGCAAAGGTCATTTAGTGGAGACCTAAAGCTATTTAGTGAAAGAGTTACCTAAGACCCTAAATCATGGGTGATAGATTGTGAGGACATCCATATGTCAGTTTTAGAGCATCCATGAGATATCTTAAGAAAACATCCTTGCGGTACCTTGTAGGTGCAATATTTAAGCCATGAAAACACTTTTCCTATCTCCTGCAGCAGCTAATTAACCTTCCCCCTTTCCTGCCTTCTCCCTATATAAGTTTGGTAAAAATTTCTAATAAACGAGGCTTTGATCAGACAAACAGACTTGGCCTCATTCCTGTGTCTCTTGTTCCTACTCCCCCATTCCTTCCACCCTCCTTTCTTTAGGAACCCCGTTGAAGTCCCATGGGTTGGGACAAGGAGCCAGATGGCAGCAAATGAGTGGGAGGAGAGGTGTGAGAGGAAAGCTAGGAGAAAGAAGCAGGAGAGAGATATCTTGGAAATACATGAAGATGGACTGGGTATAATATTTCACAAAAAGCAAGTATAATGTGGGGAATCTAAATGTTAGGAAACTATGAAGGTTTGGAGGTTTAGGATGCAGTAACTATTGCCCAGCATTGTGTTCTAGGTTAACTAAATAAGCCCAGTCTCTGTGTGGTGATTTGGGTATACAGCTATTTAGAATTAACAGCATGCTTTACCAAAAGATGTATCAATAATAAATATTAATCAACACCTACAACATGATAGTTTGAATTCTACTTTCCCTATTTATATTCCTCTACTTATTTTACTTTATTGCGTAACTAACACTTTGAGCACAATATTGAAAAGGAGTAGGGGTGGTGAACATAGATCACAAACTTCTGACCTGAATAAACTAGCCTAAACCTTTTCTCTGTTAGTGATGATTTTGGATGTAGGTTTCTCACCTATAGCTTTATTGTGTTGAAAGGTGTTGCCTCTAGCCTTACAACTCTTGAAATTTTTATGATAAAGGCATTCAAATTTTTTCAAAGATTTTGTTGCTTTTTTTATTTAAGCTATTAAGATATTCATGTGATTTTTGTTTATACATCATTTATATGTTTTTTATATTTATTGACTTATGTTGTGCTATGTATAAGCAATTTGTTCATAGTGGAAATCAGAAATGAAAAATCAGAATTGAAAGGGGAGACCTAACAACAGACACTGAGGAAATCCAAACAATCATTAGGTCTTACTACAAAAGTCTATATGGCATAAAATATGAAAATCTAAATGAAATGGACAATTTTTTTTCATAGATTCCATCTTCCAAAATTAAATCAAGATCAGATAAATAGATTGAATAGTACTATATCTCCCAAGGAAATAGAATCAGTCATCACTAATCTCCCTTCCCAAATAAGAAAGCCCAGGGCCAGATGGTTTCAGCTCAGAATTCTACCAGACCTTCAAAGAAGAACTAACTCTAATTCTCTTCAAACTATTCCACAAAATAGATACAAAAGGAACATTACCAAACTCATTCTAGTAAGCCACAGTCACCTTGATACCTAAAACCCACAAAGACCCAACAAACCAAAGAGAACTTCAGCCCATCTCTTTTATGAACATGCAAAAATACTCAATAAAATACTTGCAAACCAAATCCAAGAACACATTAAAGATATCATCCATCATGTCCAGGCTAGAGCTAAAGGAGATCAAGGGGATACAAATCAGAAAGGAGTAAGTCAAAGTATCACTATTCACAGATGATATGATAGTATACATGAGTAGACCCACAAATTCTCCCAGAGCTCTCCTATGCCTGATAAACACCTTCAGCGAAATTGTTGGATATAAAATTAACTCAAAAAAATTCTGAAGTCTTCCCATATACAAAAGACAAGTGAGCTGAGAAAGAAATTGGGGCAACAACAACCTTCCAATATTCACAAATAATATAAAGTACATCGGTTTAACTCTTACCAAGCAAGGGAAAGAGCTGTATGAAAAAAAACAAAAACAAAAACAAAAAAACTTCAAGTCTCTGAAGAAAGAAATTGAAGAAGATATAAGATGGAGAGATTTTCCATGCTTATGGATCAGTAAGAATAACAGCAAAAATGGTCATCCTACCAAAAGAAATCTAGAGATTAATGCAATTCCCATCAAAATATCAACACTATTCCTTACAGACCTTGAAAGAACAATTCTCAACATCATATTAAAAAAAAAAAAAAACAGAATAGTGAAAACAACCCAGTATGATAAAGAACTTCTGAAGTTATCTCCATCCCTGATCTAAAGCTATACTATAGAGCAAGAGTAATAATAACGGCATAGTACGGGCAGAGAAAAAGACTTGTGGATCAATGGAATTGAATCAGATACCCAGAAATAAACCCACACACCTACAGACAGCAAGACTAAGGCCAGAAATTAATACACTGAACCCCCGCAGTGTGTCCTTCTCCCCATCAAGCTACTTAAGACCTCCATCCCCTGGTACTACAGCACAGAATCTCCACTTCCCCTCTCAATAGACTACCATATCAGTGTTCTGTTTGACAGAAAAACCCTGCTTTTGGAAATGCCTGTCTGCTCTCTTTTAAGTCCATGTCAACTGCATCAATCCTGATCTAACAGACACTACAACATGCACTGAGGAAAGCAGCGAAGCATTGGTACATATTTTAAAAGTCTTCATTCAACTAAGCATTTAAATGCAAAAAAATTAACAGGTAGACTTCTAGATGTATAAAACCTAACAACATTAAATCAAGATGAAATAAATTATTAAAAAAGACACATAACAACCAAGATAGAAATGGTAATTTAAAAATCTCTCCAAAAAAAAAAAAAAAAAGAGAAAAGAAAAGCCTAGGTCTAGAGATTCAGCATGAATTCTACAAGAGTCTCAAATAACTCACTACAATACTCCTCAAAGTATTTAACATAAGGGACAAGGAAGAAACACTTCCATAGTTTTGTTAAGACACCAGGAGTATTATCTTGATTACAAAAAAAATCAACTTCTGAAAATTAATAACACACCCTAATACTGTGTTAACTAATTAATAACTCATGTTATAAAGAACTTCTATACAGGTACTCAGTTATCTGTACAAGAGACATACTTACTTACCTAATACATTATGACTGGAAGCCATGATTACAGACTATGTTAATATTAATGTCAAATATTACTGATTCCCATAATACTAAATTATATAGTATACAAACATTCACATTTTATCTTTTATTTACCTATCGACTGAATGAAAAGTTCAATTGACTTGTTCAACAATCATCTTGATAACTTATTTGAAGTTAATCTCCAAGGCTTAGAAGTGTAAGTGAGTCCTCTATTATATCTTGTTGGTTTAAAGCCCACACATTACACTCATCACTAACACACTGAGATATGGCCCACGCTCATGAGCACTGTCTATGTTCTAAAATTTATTAATGGGACCACGATTTTCATTTCACATTCATCTTACCTTATTAATACTAAATCATCTGCAAAAGCAATTACTTTTCTGTTACTGCTGACTCGAGGACAGGCTATTTATTGTCCACAAAAGGATCTTTTTATGGTCTTTTGTCATAAATACAGATTGTATTTTAGAAGAAATGGTTGCTTGGATATGATGGCCTAGTCTATATCCTATATCATTGGACATATTCCATGAAATGATATATTTTTACACTATGTTCAATTGTATCTTACAGAATTTCATCTCACACTAGGAAAACATTTGTTGAAAGACATACAAATTTAGTATCTTCAAATGAGTGCTTTCAGTCCCCAAATCATGTAAGAGATATACATATACACTTTGACAGAAGCTTTTTTCATTTTAATTTGTACTTGCTACTATGAGATGAAAATGTTTTACTGGTTTGAGGATAGTAAATTACTTACCAATAATATAAGATCCTGATGCTTCCCTTGCTTATGAGTGAGGCTTACCTGGCATGGAAGAAGCCAGTCCATGTTTCTGTCTTCTTTAGGTCCCATTTCAATTTTGCTCAACAGCGTTTTATGGAGGGCATGGGACACTGCATACACTGCATTCCATATGGAAGAGCTGGGCTCAGAAACGGTCACCACATCATTTTCTTCTGGTTTAATCTCTATAGAAAGTGGGTATGGGTCATGATTTTCACATAGGAAAGCAGAAGGTGAGCAATCAAACCTATCAATCTAGAATTTATGGAAGTAAAAATCTGGGTACTGGGAGGCTGTAGGAGACTAGAGATAGTTCATTAAGCCAGGGATAGCTCTTGTTTTCGAATATGAGAAGCTTCCTCTGAAAAAGTTCATCAAGGCATTCATATTTGATAGGGACTCAAAATAAAATGTGTTGGTTTGCCATGTTCTACACCTTCCTTCTGGTTGAAAATAATTTATTTACCATGTGGAAAAACTTTAGTTACTACATAATGACTACAGAATACCTGCACTTTTATCTGTGTATGTTGGTTCAAATTCAGCAAATCAACAGCAAATAGTAGCCAAGTTTCAATTAACTGGCTGTTTTTCTGCACAACCACACAGATTTCTTTCTTTCTTTCATTCCTTCCTTTCTTTCTTCTCTCTCTCTTTCCTTGCTTCCCTCTTCTTCCTCCTCCATCTCTTACTTTTTCTCTTTGCCCATATGTATATGCCTTTAGAACAGCAGAGGTGGCCAGATCCTTCTGTACTGAGTCCCCAGCACCCTAACAACTAAGCCCAGTGCACCTTACCTACTCAACCTCCAGCCCCCCCTGCTCGTGCAACCGCGGGCCAGCAGAGGGCGCCAGAACGACCTATACAAGGTCATGCACAGCCTTATCCCTGGTCGGGGTGCACCCATCTCCCCCAGGAAGCATGCAGGAGTGGTGGGAGCAGAGGACTGTGTCTCTTCTCTTCCCGCCATCTCCCTGCCTGCGGTTACGCCCCATGCACGAGCCGCTCGGGGACTCCAGGCGGATGGATGGAAGGCGAAGGATGGACAAGGGAGGGAGGCGGAGAACCCCCAAATCCCTCCTACTCCCCTTCCCTCACACCCCCACCCCACGTGTGAGCAGGACTATGAATTCATAACTGCTTGGGATAAGAAGATTGCTGACCTGGGAAACCGTTCCGGGTAGCAGCGCGCCTCTAGCGGAAGTTCCGCCCCTTATGGCTTCGCTTCCAGATCCGCCCCGCAGAGAGCAGAGACTTCCGAGCTCGGAGGCACCGAGGACGCCCTGCAATCTCCCTGGCCCACGGGGCTGTAAACACAAACCCTCTACTCACAGACAGACATTTATCCCTTCGTTTCTCACTTCGGAGCTCTTGTTGGTCACGAAAGTCCCAACGGTCCTAAGATGCATTGCGGCAGAGTCCCACCGGCCTGAGAACTACAAACGTGGCTTCAGAACGAGGACTTCTGGGATTGTATGTAAGAACTACAAAAATGGCTTCAAGGAGGCGCGATGCATCCTGGGATTGCTCGTAGTCACGAGCCTGCGTCCTTCCCTGTCCGTTGCCTGGACCGTGGACCCTGAGTCGCCTACGAATCCCAGAATTCCCTGCGCGCTGTTTCCAGCATCATAAACGCTGGGAGGTGGAGATGCCACTTAGTCGTCCAGGGCGCATGGAGAGACCCAAGACGGGCGCCGCCTCTCTATCTCTCTGTCCAGAGTCGGCGTAGGTTGATGACGCACTTCCGGCCTGGTTTGTTTTCCCTCGTTGGCGTGCTGGCCGGCGTCTTGAACTGTTGTGACGGCATTTTAGGGGATACGGTGGCCGCGCGCCCCGCTTTCTGGGAATTCCATCGGGGTCTCGGGGCCCCGGAGGCTGCGATGGCGGCGGCCTGCGCGGTGGTACTGGCGTTGAAAGCAGAAGCGGAGGAGGAAGAGAAGGACCCCGGGTTCTGGCTGGACCCCGAAACCTCCCGGAGACGCTTCTGGCGGCTGCGCTCCGAGAACGTGTCCGGCCCGGAGGAGGCGCTGAGCCGCCGGCGGGAGCTGTGCCGCCGCTGGCTGCGGCCCGAGCGGCGCTCCAAGGAGCAGATGCTGGAGCTGCTGGTCCTCGAGCAGTTCCTCAGCCTCTTCCCTCGCCGGCTGCGGGACCCTGTGCGCCACCGGCGCCCCGAGAGCGGGCGGAGGCGGCAGGTGAGGACCCTCCAAATCCCGAGACCGCAGGCAAATGAGTCTTCCCGCCGCCGTGTCAGGGGCTCCGAGAAGGAAGGGCTTATTCTGGGGTGTCAGGGTTCAACAAGATCCACAGTCCAGGGCCAGGAATGTGCGGTAGGGTTGTGGCTGGTCCCCTTGTTTCCCAGTTAGCAGTGAGGAGGAGGTGGACGCTGGCGCTCCCCTTGTCGCCATTCCGCACATTCAGCCCTGTCAAAGCTGTCTGGAGATGCTGGCTAGCTCAGGCTAGCCCCGAAGCCGGGTTTCAGGGGTCCCTGAGTCCAGTCGAGGTGACATGGAACGCTTTGTTACCCTGTGACTCGGTTCACCAGCTCCTTATTCTCAGCAGGGACAGCGAGCACTAACTGAGGTCTTGCGCCCCTCCAGGACACCCCGACTTTCAAGGCCGAGGCCGGATCTCCGACCCGGGGAGAATGGCAGCAGCTGGCCGCGGCCCCCCCAGAACGGAGAGAGCACGGAGGGGAGCACGGCCATGCTGGGTGAGTGAGGCTCCTGGCTCAGGTGAGCCAGGGTCTTCTTCCTGATGCTGTAATGAAGCATCCTTCCCAGAATGCCCCAGTTCCTGTCCTCCTTCCCAGAAAGCCCTAGTTCCCACCCCCCTACCCCCACCTCCCTCTCCCCAAGCGTCCAGGGGAACAGGTCTTATAGATTGAACACCTGACCCCACCGAGCTCTCGGGTCCTAATAATGATATTGGAGTCCCGGGCTGGGCCCGTTCTCTCTCTGCTCACATTCTTCCACTTCAGGCTTGGAGAACCAAGCTGCCTGGATCCCAAAGCAGGAGAAGGACTGTAAGGAGGAGGCCAAGCCTGCGCAGGACTGGGTACAAGGCGCGCCCCCAGGGATGGACCTTGACAGGGAAGAGAAACTACCTAAAGATGCTGTCCTGCCACCGCCACACCCTCAGGGTTCTCCAGGAGAGCCAAGGCGCACGGCCACCTTGCATGTCCCCTGTGGGGTCAACGAGGAAGAGCTTTGGAGAAGTAGAGAGCCAGGGCGCACAGCCATCTCACAGGTCCCTTGCGGGCCAAGGAGGAGGGGCTTTGGAGAGGTGACAACTTTGAGGAGGTTGCCACCCCCCTTTGCCTTTTTCAGGATCAACTTCACCACTTTTGTGAAGTAGTCTCCACTAGAGAACGAATTTGCTGTGGGGAGTGGAGCCCGGCTCATCTCCTCCATCTGCTACTTTGAGTCTTAAAAGGACTGGTGAGCCATGCTAATCTCCCTTCCCTTCCTTCCTCCCTCGACTTCCTCCTTCATCCCTTCCTCTCCATCCTTCCCTTTCCAGCTCCCGACTCTTCTTAATTCATGTAGGAAGCGTTTCCTCCTGACTGCCTTGGAGCGGTTGACTGTATGTGTTCGCTGAGAGGATATAGGTGGACTGGACCTTACTGTGGTCGCAGATGTAGTCCCTGAACGTAGAGCTGTACGTAAGCTTCCTCAGGCCACTGTGGTGCACAGGCCTGTAAGTCTAGCTTGACTTTGAGACCAGTGTGGGGTTCACAGCAAGTCAGAGGCCAGCCTGAACTCTGTAGGAAGCTCTTCCCTGACAGAGAGCAAGCCAGCCTTCAGCAGGAGCAGCTGTGCACTATAGGGAGCCCATGAAAATACTCAAGGTAAGTCAAAGGACAGTCTTCCAACATTAAAAGTGATGGTGCGTACACGACTTAACTCTGAAAATGTAGCTAACGTTGCCTATGGATTTCAGAATTGAAATGGTTTTTATGAGCATATAGAGCATTTTATTTGGAGGGGGTTTATAGGGTGGCTTGGAAAATGCTGGGGTTTTTTTGTTTTTTGTTTTTTTCTGTGAGGACAGTGTAAGCTAGGTTTTCTCCTTCCTCAGGTGGGTGAGCAAGTGCATTAAGAAGCTGATTTGCTCCACAGTCCTCAGCTTGGGCTGGCACCCCAACATTTTGATGGCTGCAGGGTCATGTGATTTCAAATGCAGGTGAGAAAAATGAGCACTCCCTGTTGCTCAGCACTGACAGGTACCCATTGGGCTCCTTTATTTGCAAAGTACAGTACCCTGTGAGCAGCTTCATGATAAAGGGTACTTCCTGGTCTAGAAAAGGAGCTGGGGCTGGGATGTGGCTCAGTAGGTAGAAAACTTGCTGAGCTGGTTACCGTCCCCCAGCACTGCAGAAGCCCGGCAGGTGCTGCACGCCTGTAAACCCTGCACTGCATGTGGAGCTAAGATTAGAGGCTCAGTTACAGACTGAGATTGAGGGCAGGCAGACTACATGAGACCCCGTGTCAAGAAAGAGAAAAAAATAAGTGAACTGGTACACAGTGATGAACAGAGAAAGTAGCAGAATATATGATGGACTCAGCCATGGGGTTAGCAGGTCATTGGGCACAGCCGCCTGGCCGGCAAAGTGAGGAGTCTTAGGCAGAGTCAGTAGTCTTGAGTGCAGGCGAGCTCATGCTATGACCATCCGTCCATCTCTCGGCCTGTCTGTCTCAGTTTTTAAGTCAATTGATTTTATTTATCTCTGTGCATGTGGGTATGCATGCCTGGCAAAGGCCAGAAGGGATAAGAGATGCCCAAGAGCTAGAGGTGGTTGTGAGCCACCTGATACAGGTGCTAGGAGCCCAACCCAGTCCTCTGGAAGAGCAGCAAGTGTGTTAACCACTGAGCCATCTCTTCGGTTCAGTTCTCTGTGTTTTGATGTGACAAGGAGTTGGAAGCATGAAGCCCAGGTTTGTCTGGCGCTCACCATCCTCCCTCAGCTTCTTGTCCTGGAATTACAAGTCTGCACCTTCATTCCCACCAGCCTCTTTCTTGGACTGTTTCAGGTCCCATTTTGTGTCCCAGGCCACAGACTGCAGAGAACAGTGAACCTGACTTTAGCCACGTGTCCCTGAGGATGTACAGACAGAACACTCCCTCTGTCTTTACCCGAGGCTAGAGAAGACTTGCCACCCTGCTAGAGCTTTAAGAATCATGCCACGGGTTGCTTTTTAAAACCTGTCCTTCAACAGGGCCCTTTCCCCTTTAGCAAAAGGAAAAGCAAAGAATTCATCACCATTTTGTGTTGACTCTTTGGGGCTGAGTCGACCCACCTTCAGTACCTATGTCAGGGTTTCCCAACCCCTGGGGAGTGTGACCCCAACATGGGTAAGACGACCCTTTCACAAGGGCCACCCAAGACTACCAGAACACACTTACATTACACTTTACATCAGCAGCAAACTTGCAGTTACAAAGCAACAATGGGAATAATTTTCTGGAGCAGGGCACCACAGCTCAAGGAAGGTTGGGACCTCCTGGCCCATGTGAAAAATTTCCAGAAAACCAGCCCTGTCGTTTATACTCGGGTCTAATTACAAAATGAATAAAGGGAAAAAAAACAAAAACAAAAACGGGTAGTGTTGCTCAGTGGTGGAGCATTTGCCGAGTCTGTAGCAAAGCAAAAAACTAAGAAGAAAAATCTGGGTGGAGAAAGTAGTCTAAGATAGTCTTGGGGCTCTGTGCTCAGGAGTTTGTGGTCCGTTAGTTATCCAGGATCCCCTGGCTCTCCCAGCAAATAAGACAGGACGGGACTGTCTGGGCACGTCCACAGTTGCCTGTGACCCGCAGGCAAGAGAAGCCGACGCCCCTAACCCTGCAGACCCTTAGCTGCCTCTGTCATTTGGAAGTTGGGCTTAGGTTTGCTTTGGTTTGGTTTGAAAACAGGGTTTATGTGAGTCACTCTGTAGTGACTTGTAACCACAGAGATTCCCCTGCCTCTGCTTCCCCAAGCGCTGATATTAAAGGCAAGCAGCCCAGAGTTGTTTAAGGAGCATTGAGGTTCAGGTTCCCCTTCCTCTTCCTCCTTCTCTTTCTCCTTTACTCTTCCTTTTCCTCCCCTATTTTCTCCTCCTCCTCCTCCTTCTCAAATCTTCCTTGGTGGCTGCTCCTCCTCCTCCTCCTCCTTCTCCTCCTCCTTCTCCTCCTCCTTTCTCCTCCTTGACTCTTTGACTCCTTGGCCTCCAGGGGCCACACCTATGTTCAGATGAGTCAGAAGAGGCCAGAGGAGGCAGATTCTGGCCCTTCCTTGTCCCTCAACCTCTAAAGGCCTTAGAAGGGACAGTGGATCCGAGGTGGGGTCCAGCCCTTTGTTGGCAGGGCAGGCCTCGCCTCGCTTTGTCAGCCCTTTGTTGGGTGTCTTCACCTCTAGCTTTATTTATCTGTGTGTGTGTGCGCCCAGGACTTGTGTCCACCCAGCTTCGTGCCTGGATTCCAGGTGTAGGCTGCCATCTCTGGCTCCCTGTGGGTTATGTGGATCCAAACTCGGGTCCTGGTGCTGGTCCAGCAAGCGCATCCCTGGCTATCCTTTTCCGCATCAGCCCATCCTGACCCGCCTCCTGTCCCATGCTTTCCACAACAGACTGTTTTCGAGTGACATCAAGGAGTTGGACGGGAAGTCGGCCAGCACCCCGTGGGGCAGCAAGATGCCTATCGGCCAGCTAATGGCGGAATTCGGCAGCATCAGCCCTGGCGGCTGGGTGCATGATGTCAACTTCTCGACCAGCGGGGGCTGCCTGGCCTGGGTCAGCCACAACAGCACGGTGTCGGTGGCCAATGCCTCCAAGAGCATGCAGTGAGTCCTCACATGGCCTGCGGGGAGAGGTTCAGTTAGCGATCCGTACACGCTGGCTCTCCACAGCGAGGGGAAGTGTAGACAGCTTGCGATCTGGACAGGCTGGCTCTCCTTGGCAGCTAGGGGAAGTATATACAGCTGGTCACATGCACTCTGGACACAGTAGCCTAGAGCACTGCAGCTAGGGGGAGTGTATACAGCTGGCTGAGAGGCCCCTGGGTCCCAGTGGGGGTCAGTAACCCACCCCCGCCCTTCAGGCAGCGCCTGTAGCCAGCAGGCCCAGTCTCTGCTGGCCTGATAAAGATGATGGCTGGGAGCTGGGAGGATGGCACCGCAGACGCCTGACTGTCTCCTCACGTCTGTGGTCCCCACCAGCCCCCAGGGAGATGGGATGGAGCGTGGTGGCCAGGAGGTGGAAGCAGGAGGCTCAGAAGTTTAAGTCCAGCCCAGTCTGGCCTGGAGGAGAACCTTGTATGACACATTTTCCTCCTGAGCACGGTGTTTCTGCCACTGCTCAATTTGTCCTTCTCAGAGAACAGGATCGTGGCCAGGATGAGTATGCGCCCCTCCCAGTATGCCTCCTGTGCTGGGCCCAGGACTTGCCTCACACACCCTCCCCCGCACACACTTCCTCGCAGTGGGCATCCTAGCTAGGTGCCACCTGCCTGTGCAGTGCCCCCCACACACTCCCTGCACAGTATCCTGTAGTGTGCCCCTTCTCAAGGTGCCACCTGCCTGTTCCAGTCCAGGATATGCCCCGAGCACCCTCAACCACCTACAGTTCCCTGCACTGTGCTCCCACTCGGGGTGCCACCTGCCTGTGGCAGTCAAACAAGGTGCATGTGCTGCCCAGAGCCCACACGGAGAAGGGAGAGAATAGATTCTGACAGTCATCAAGTCAGCTGACCTGTGTACCAAACACACAGCATAATGAACTAATAACAACCTGAAATGATAGTGTGTAAAGGCCCTTCTCACGGGCTGCGCTGTGGCTTCCACTCTTTGAGGGCCAGGCTGGCATCTGAGGAGGAGGAGGCTGGCTCTGGAAGCTCTGCCAACATGTTGGCTCACCCTGGTGTCCCTGATCTTGGGGTGAAGGCTCTGTAGGGAGTCTCCCTATTTGTTTGTATCCTTTGGGGTTGTGGATTGAGATGGAATCCGGGACTCCTGAAGGCTGATTTCAAAAGCCAGAAAGGCTCTGACTGCTCAAGCAGGCTGCTCTCAGAGGCCTTGTTGGGGACTGGTTGGCTTCAGCCATGCTCCCGTCACTTCTGAGCTTGGAAGGAGAAAGCAGTTCTTTGTCTGCATCTGCTGAGACCTGTTCTGTCCCTACCAGCCCCTTGGTGAGGCTGTAGCCTTTCCTCCTCCCTTCCTGTCTTCCTCTTGCTACCTTCCCCCTCTCTTGCTCTCCTCTCCTGTATCCCTCTTCCTCCCCTTTCCCTAACTTCTCCGTTCACCCTCTCTCCTCTTACCCTTTCCCTCTCCCTCTTCCTTCCCCTCCTTCCGCCTCCTCCCTCCTCTCTCTCTTCCTCTTTCTCCCACTCTCCCTTCCTCTCTGTGCCTCTCTCCTTTATCCCTTTGTCTCTCCCCCCTCTCTCTCCCTTTCTCTCTCCCTCTCTTCCACTTTCTCTTCCTTCCTCTCTCCATCCCTCTTCCTCCCACTCTCTCTCCCTTCCTCCTTTTCCCTCTCCCTCTCCTCTGACACCAGATGGCTGTGAGCCACCGTGTGAGTGCTGGGACTCAAACTCAGGACCTCTGGAAGAGCAGCCAGCACTCTCAACCTCTGAGCCATCCCTGCAGCCCCCCTGACCTTGAACTTGTAACCTGGCCTCTACCTTCAGATGGCTAGGGCTCCACGCAAGCACCAGTACCCAGTGTATGTGGCTTTGGGGACCTTGGGCCTACCCGCTGGGCCACATCCTGGGTGAGTGAGCCCTCCCACTCTAGGACAGGGTCTCGTCGTATGGCCCTGAGGGATCTGGAGTCTAGTGCACCCCCCAGCCATCTGTCATTGCGGGTCTTGGGGGAATGGCCTCACTCTCTCCACAGACCTCATGATCTCACTCTTCTTTTAGCCAGGTATCAATTTATGAGGTGGACTAGCAGGACAGTCACAAATTATGCACCACTGGCATCGACGGGGCCATGATGATCTGGGATTTCAAGGTATGTCTCTCCAGTGGCAGTTGGTAGCTCTGGGGTGAAGCCCGGGCCATGCATGCACTATCCACGGAGCCACCCTGCCGCATGGCCTGCCAGAAGAGTCAGCCCCAGAGTCCCTAAGACAAGGGAAGCACAGCCCCTGGCAGGTGGGTGGGTGGAGGCTCCGAGCCACCCTTGTCCTCAGGAAAGCTTGGTGCCGTATTGAAGCCAGCAGCCCACACAGCTGTGCACAGACACAACTTCACAATTTACACAGTTGGCTGTGGGCTCAGTCCTGGAATTCCCAGGCTTGGGAGGCTGAAGCAGAGGGATTGCTCTGAGCTTTGTGCCAGCCTGAGCTAGATGATAGAACCTTACCCCCACACACACCAAAAAATAATGCAATGAGCCGAGACGAACATGCACGCACACACGCACATGCAACAAGTGTGATAATATAAAAAGTAGTATAGGGCCTGGAGTGATGGCTCAACAATTAAGAGCACTCGCCTAGGCCTCAGGATTTGGTTCCTGACACCCCCTTGGCAGCTCATGACCAGGTCCATGGAATCTGATGCTCTTCCACCTTCCACAGGCACCAGGCACACATGTGGTGTGTGCAAAAATACATACATACATACATACATACATACATAAATTAGCCAGGTGGTGTAGCACGCCTGTGACCCCAGTACTTGGGGAGGCGGAGGCAGGGGCATCTCTGTGAGTTCAAGGCCAGCCTGGTCTACAGAGCAAATCCAGGACAGCCAGGGCTACATAGAGAGACCCTGTCTCAAGAAAACACAACAACAAAATGACATAAATAAATCCTGAAATAAAGGTCCAGACTTAGGAACACATGTCTTTAATTCCAGGAGTCATATGAGGATTGGTCTCTGTGGAGTTGGAGGCAGCCTGGTGTACAGAGGTCCAGGCCAGCCAGGGCAAGGCAGTGAGGGGAAGAAGTGGGAGGGAGGGAGGGAAGGAAGGAAGGAAAGTGACGGAACGAAGGAATGGAGGGAGGGAAGAAATGAGAGAAGGAAGGAAGGAGGGAGGGAGGGAGGAAGAGAGGAAGGCAGGCTGTGCAGGCTGAGGTGATAAGAGCTCTTGGGGAAGGAGATGCCATGCTCTGATGCCGGGGAGTACAGCAGTGTGGCAGAGAACCAAGGTCTCCAGGGCTGACAGAGCTCTGCTTTCTCCAGACCCTGGAGTCATCCATCTAGGGCCTCTGCAGCATATGAGGAGGAGCCACCCGCACTAGGACCGGAGCTCCTTAAACGAAGTAACATGTCTTGGACATAGTGATATTCACTTAATAAAATATATACTTTAAATATTCAAACTGTATGAGCAGGGACAGCAGAGAAATCAGCAAAATAGCAGCTGGTCCATTATTACAGTGAGTAATTTTATTATGGATGAGAGAGGAAAAATGTCCAGAGTCACCTAGAAGAGTTCAGATCAGAGAGAAAAAGAAGCAGACTTGATATGACCAAGACTGTCTTGAAGAAAATAGAGAATATTAGGAGAAAAGTAGAGGTAGCTTAGACAGACAAAGTATACTTTCATCAATGCATAGGCTGGACCTAGGTCCCCCTTCACTTACGTAGCAGATGTGCAGCTTGATCAACATGTGGGTCCCCTGACAATTGGACTGAGAGCTTTCACTGACTCTGTTGCTTGCCCTTAGTTCCCTTTCTCCTAGCCTGGCTATCTTGCCTGTCCTTACTGAGAGAGGATGCTCTTAGTCCTGCCTCCTGTGATATGTCAGGGTGGGTTGGTACACATAGTGAACCTCTCTGAAGAGAAAGAGGGAATGGGGGAGGGAATAATGATGGTGTGACTGTGAGGAGAGAAGGGATGGGGGCCTGTGATGAAGTTATGAAATTAATTAATTAGTTAATTAATTGGTGGAAAGAAAAACAGGGTAATTTCTAGACTATTTAGGAAATTAGGATAGTGCAGAAAGAGTTTGGGAAGGCACAGGAATCTAGATGGGTGTTTTGAGGTATATAATGAGTACATTTACTCCCTTTTCAGGCAACCTGGAAGCCAACATGGGTGTTAATATCCTGATAGGAGCCACAGGTCAGTAGAGAGCAGTATGTTCCTTTTGTCAGAGCAAGAAAAATGGTTTTTGCTGGACAAGGACTATTTCACTAATTCTGGATCAATGCTGTTTTTTGTATGTGTGTATATTTGTTTGTTTTTGTTGTTTGTTTCTAATCACCAGAATTCCTTTGATACTGAATATTGAGCAGGTCCAGGACTGACATTATTGGATAATTGCACTTCCTGGGACTAAACAATTTTAAACTATTAGGAAAGCCTAATTACACTCTTCACACCTATTATGTCCTTTTAAAAGGTAATGGGTTTAGTTATCACATGCCACTATAGAGATTTCCGTCTGATGTGTTTTTATTTCCCATACTCAAATGTGTCATATTTTTAAAATCATAATTATCCGGCAGAATATCTTTATGAAGAACCTCACAGTTTGGTAGAATTTTGTTATCTCAATGAGAACTGTATATCTTAATGAGAACTGTATAATTACATGTATTAATGAAATTACACACTTTGCAGAAGTCAAAAATTATTACTATCGCCAAATACACTCACCATAAAGACAGATAATTCTAATTTTGAATGATTTGTCCATGATTATTATATGTCCAAAGTATACTATATATTTTATTAATAAATGACAGAGTATCCCCCATGCTTCAGATACAATTCTTTGTGTATCTAGGATTAATATATAAAATTTACTGTATACTAATAAGCATGTACGCTCCTTTCCAATCTTCCAAGCTTTCTGATTTCTCTGTGCATGAAGCTTTCTGACCATATCTCAGTAAAGCACATTCATCTTTAAAGTATTCTATGATTTTTGCATGTGGTAGACACCAAGGTTCACAGTTTTAATTATTTTGCATGCTGGCTTTTTTCACCTGGGCCTTTAACAGGTTAAAAAATTAGGAATTGATAATCTTTGGAGGTGAATATAAATTTCATGATATTTTTACATTACTGTCTTTTAAATAGTATTGTTTATTTGAATTTATTCAAATTATATTGTGGCTGTGGCCCCCTCTCTCATCTCCTCTGAATCCCATCCTCCTTCCCTCTTCTCCCCCTACACCCCCCTAGTCCTCCCCTTTTATTTGACCCTGTACAAGTATTCCTCCTATTTGACCCTATATAAGTATTCCTCCTATTGTTGCTCTGATATCATTACAGTTATCTATCCTTTTTTCTAACATCTATCCTCTATCATCTATATCATATACACATACATACACATACATACATATTATGTGTTACACATACATACACACATGCACAGTTTTGAATATATTATTTTTCGAAACACGTGGTTCAAATTTCTTTTAAAAATCAATGTCTTAAAGTAAAAATTTGAAATGTATGTGTCCCTTTGTCAGTTATGGCTTGAGCCTTGGAATGTTGACATCACAGTGGTTTCTGCCCCAACTACTACAGAATGTTTACACTTCAGTGGTTCATCTACAAACTGCTGTAGCCATTTTGGTTAGTGCCAGGAAAGAAAAGGATAATTTTGTGCCCAGTGAAAGGTTCTCCATTCCAGGCTCCACTGTTAAGGTATTTTAAAATGATCCTTATGATTTTCATGCTAGACTAATGGTTTTAGGAAGTGTTCTGTCTTGATTTCTCTAGAACCTGTGATCTAATTCTTAACAGTTGTTTCATGAAAAGCTACTCATGTTAGCAATAGTCAGTACCATTCCCCCAAGAAACAAAGTTATCATGACAAAGAGGTATGTTCTGAGTTATTATACAAGAGAATAATATCCATGTATCTTAAAAATGATATGCCCAAGATAGGAGAGATTATTTTTGCTTTCATCTAGCTGTTTTACCCACTATGCCAACAAAGTTTTGTTGGAAAATGCACAGATTTCAGCCCCAAATACAACAATTTTCTGGTTTCAAACATATATTTCTCAATATGTGAACACTGATTCTGCTAGATAGGAATGACTTTCCAGACATACTCATTTAATTTCAATTTTATCATGAAACTGCATTGGCAATATTTTATAAACTACCTTTACATTATTGCCGGATGTATTTGATGACAACCTTGCCTGATGTCTCTCTTTGACTGTTCAATTCACAGGGATCTTTACTCCTTCCCAAGTAAAAACTATGGCTTGTCAGTACATATTCCTTGAATGAAATAAAATGACATAGAAATAAATGACTTAGAAATAAAATGGCATAGTAGTATTCACTTAATAAAATAAATACCTTAAATATTCCAACTGTTTGAGCAGGAACAGTACACAAACCAGTAAAATAGTATCCACTCCATTATTACAGGAATTAATTTTATTATGGGTCAGAGAGGAAAAATGTTCAGAGGCACCTGGAATAGTTCATAGCACAGAGAAAAAGAAGCAGACTTGATATGACCAAGACTGTCTAGAAGAAAATGGAAATTAGGAGAAAAGTAGAGATACCTTAGACAGAGACAAACTTTGCTTTTATAAATGCACAGGCTGGACCTAGGTCCAGCTACACATATGTAGCAAATGTGCATCTTGGTCAGCATGTGGGGCCCCTAATAATTGGACTGAGGGCTGTCTCTGACTTTGTTGCTTGCCTTTAGTTTCCTTTCCCCTAGCTGGGTTGTCTTGCTTGTCCTTAGTGAGAGAGGAAGCTCTTAGTCCTACCTCATGTGATGTGTCAGGGTGGGTTGTTACACACAGCCTCTCTGAAGAGAAAGAGGGAATGGGGGAGGGGAGAATGATGGTGGGACTGTGAGGAGAGAAGGTACAGGGCCTGGGATAAAGATGTGAAATTTATAACTGAATTAATTTGTTTAAAATAAAGTCAGGGTATTTCTAGACTATTCATTAAATTAGGATAGTGCAGAAAGAGGTGAGGCTCTTTGGGAAGGCACAGGAATCTAGATGTGTGTTTTGAGATATGTATAACAAGTCCATTTACTTCCCCTTCAAGGAACCTGGAGGCCACCATGGGTATTGATATCTTGATAGGAGCTACATGTCAATAGAGAGCCATATGTCTCTTTTGTCAGAGCAAGAAAAATGGCTATTTTGCTGGACCAGGACTTTTGCACAAATTCTTGATGAATGCTGTTTTTGGTATGTGTGTTTGTTTGGTTTTTGCTTGTTTCTCTCTAATCACCAGAATTCCTCTCGAAAGTGCATATTGAGCAGGTCCAGGAATGGCATATTTGGATATTTGCACTCCCTGGGACCTAAATAGCTTATACTATTAGGAAAGCCTGATTACTTTCTTTACACGTATTTATTACTATTTTAAAAATAATGGGGTTAATAACCACGTGGCACTATAGAGATTTTCTTCTGATGTGTTTTTATTTCCCATACTCAAATGTGTCATTTTTAAAATCACAATTATTCAGCAGAATATCTTATTGAAGAACCGAACAATCTGATAGAGTTTTGCTATCTTAATTAGAAGTGTATAATTACAGATATTAATGAAATTACAGACTGCAGAAGGCAAAAATTATCACTATCACCAAAATACAATGATTTTAAAGACAGATATTCTAATTTTGAATGATTTGTCCATGATTATTTTATGTCCAATGTAAACTACATTTCTCTATTATGAAATATACAGAGTATCTCTAATATTTCAGTCACAATTCTTTGTTTCTCTAGGATTAATATATAAAATTTACTATATACTAATTAGCATGTGTACTCCTCTCCACTCTTTAAAACTTTCTGAGTTCTCTGTGCATGAAGCTTTCTGACTATATCTCAGTAAAGCACATTCATCTTTAAAGTATGTTATAATTTTTGCATATGTTAGACTCCAAGGTTCACAGTCTTAATGATTTTGCATGCTACCTCATTTCACATGGACCTTTAGCAGGTTAAAAGAAGTAGAAATTGATAATCTTTGGAGATGAATATAAATTTCATGATTTTTTTTTTACATTACTGACTTTTAGTATTCATTTTTATTATCATTCTTACATTTTTTTTTCAAATTTTATTGCAGCTGTGGCTCTCACCCTCATCTCCTCCCAATCCCACCCTCTTCTCTTCTCCCCCTATGCCCCTCCCATAGTGTACTGATAGGGAAGGTCCTCCTCCCTTTCTATTTGACCCTAGTCTACCATGATGTTTTATACAAGTATTCCTTTTATTTTTGTATACATATTATTACACTTATCCTTCTACCTAACATCAATCATCTATTATCTCTATCATATATCTTTTATACACACATATATATACACACATATACAACATATGGTTGTAAAAATGTCAATCCAAACATGTGGTTCAAGAATTGTTTAAAATCAATGTTTTAAAGTCAACAGTTTGTAAGAAATGAAATGCATGTGTCACATTGTCAGTATGGCATGAGCCTTGGAATGTTGACATCACAGTGGTTTCTCCCCATGACTACTACAGAATGTGTACACTTCAGTAGTTCATCTGTAAAATGCTGTAGCTGTTTTTGCTTAATACCAGAAAAGAAAAGCTTAATTTGTACCCAGTGAAAGGTTCTCCATTCCAGGCTCTACTGTAATGTATTTTGAAAAGACTATTATGGTTTTCATGATAGATTAATGGTTTAAGGAAACATTCTGACTTGATTCATTCAGATTATGTAAACCCAGCTTCTTGAAAAGCTACTCATATTACAATTTAGTACCATTCCCCAAAAGAAAGGAAAAAATACCTGAAGTATGCTTTGAGCTATAAAGGAGAAAGGTGTTTGTATATCTTCAAAACTATATCTGACCAAGTTATGAGTGAGGACTATTCTCTATACCATCTAATTATGGTACTCATCCTGACTGCAAGTATTTGTTTTAAATTTGTGTCAGATGTGAACTTTAAAATCTCAAAAGCTCTCTGGTTTTCAACAGAGTTTTATTGTTTCTGACATATTTTGTGTTCTTTGGCACCTAAATCTCAATATTTTGATATAGATTCAGACTAGACAAGAACTATTTTCCAAACATGCTCTTTTACTTTCAATTCTGTTATCATGAAACTGAATTGGTGCTATTTTTAACATACCTTTACATTACATACCTTTCATTATGTGCATATTGAAAATCATTGACTGCTGTCTTTCTTTGACACTTTCATTCATTTCATTAAGTGCTTTCTAACGAAAATCTATGGGGTCTCTGTATACATTCCTTAATTTTAGCAGAGTAATAGTCACTTTTACAGATATATTTTAAATATTCAATTGTATGATCTTGATAACAGGAAAAAAAACCCACCAAATCTTAGATTATTACAGGAAAGAATTTTATTATGGATAAAAGAGGAAAAATGTTCAGAGGATTCTAGAAAATTTCAGACCAGAGGGGAGAAAAACATATTTCATGTGACCAAGCTATCTGGGAGAAAAGAAAGAATATTAAGATAGAAAAGTGGAGATAAATCAGACAAGTAAAGTAACTGACTTCATAAAGAGATAGAGAGTAATACTAGAATATTTTGGGAGTTAGAGTGCAGGAGGAGATAGGCTTGTTTGGGAACTGACAGGAATACATGTATGGGTTCTGAGATGTATAACAAGTACTTTTACTCCCCTCACTTGACCTGGAGGCCAATATTGGTGCTAATATCCTGATAGCACAGGTCGATGGAGTGCCATATATCCCTTTTGCCAGAGGCAAGGAAAATGACTTCTCTTGCTGTATAAGAACTGTCTCACAAATTCTTGATGAATATTGTTTTGTTTTTTTGGTGTGTCTGTTTTTGTTTGTAACCCCATAAATCCTTCTATACTCCATCTTGAGATGGACAAAGATGGCCATTTTTGGATATATATGCTCCCTACTGACTAGTTTAAACCATTAGAAAAACCTAATTATTTTCTTCATGTCTATTTACATTCACTTACAAAGTAATGGACTTACTTAGTTTTGATGTTTCAATGCCAATACATAGATGTATATCAGTCTTTTTTTATACTGCAGTCCAATGATTCAGCCATTTGAAAGAAGTATTTAGTAGAAAATATTTTTAAAGTACTTTGTACAATTTGGTAGAGTTTTTCTATCTCATTTAATACTGTAAAATTATACATATTAAACTACACAGTTTACAGAAGGTACAGTTTACTATCAACAAAATTCAATCATTTAAAGAAATAGGCATTCTAATTTTACATGATCTGTTCATGATTATCATGTGTCTAAGGTATACTATATATTTAATCATGAGATTTACCGAGTATCTTCCAGGTTGTTTCAGTTACAATTCTATGTGTCTTTAGCCTTTACTATATACTAATAAGCAAGTATCCTCCTCTGTAGACATCAATGCTGTCTGACTTTCTTGTGCATGAAGCTTTCTGACTATCTCAGTAAAGCACATTCCCTTGAAAAACCTATGATTTTTTACATCTGTTAGGCTCTAAAGTTCAAAGGGTTAATGACATCTCCATGCTGCCTTTTTCAGGTAGAACTTTGATAGGTTAAAAGCATTAGGAATTAATAAATGGGGATAAATATACATTTCACCATGTTTTGCACCAAGTATTTTGCCTCTTATTACACACATATTACATTAGGGTGAACAATGACATCCATGTTGCTACTCCAATGACCAATTTTTAGGGGTCGCCTACTTTGGCCTTCATTTAATGTTTGACATCAATCTGTCTTTTTTTGTGAATCACTCTACTGTTTGAGTATTGCTTTTTCTCTCCAATATGATGCTTTGCAATGTGCTTTTTGCTTTTATTTTTAAATCATGAATAATATTGGCAAACTTCATTAATAATAGTCTTTATTACTCAAATTTTAAAAATGATTTTAGTTGAAATACAATTACTTCATTCACCCCCATTCTCACTCTGAACAAGTGGTTCTCAACTTATTAGTCCTGAACCTTTTGGAGATGGCATATTTGATATCTTCCTATCAAAGACTTACAATAGAATTCATAACAGTAATAAAATTACAGTTATAAAGCATCAATTAAATAATTTTATAATAATCAACCATAATAATATGGTTGTATCCTATGACATGAGTAACAGTATTAAAGTGTTAACTACTGATCTATATCCTACCAGCTACACTTCTTGCAACTTGAGTTTTCTCATGACTCAAGTTGATCACTTCTGGGGGAAAAAGCCTATTTCTCCAATCTATTCCCAGTACTTCTCTTCCTAAGTGACCTCTTCCTTTCTATTACATTTTAAGTATGTTTATAGCTCAACAGAATCCTGCTTTGGGAATTGAACCTGTGTTTTAAAACTATGCACCTTTTGAAATTTAGTATGGATATCAGTCTTGTAATTATCTACTGAATATCTGTTCTGTTAGGTCGAGACCTGTCCCAGGAAAATCCATATTTACCCACTTGGAAGCCTATGTAGAGTTCACCTCCTATGGAATATACTGAACCTTGCTATGCCAAGGCCCCATGAAACTCAGAAGAGACAGAAGAAGAAAAAAAAAACTACAACTCTCCTTGTTCAATGATATTTTGGTTGTGTCTAATAACCTGTGAGTATGTCCCTCATGCCTGCCATACTATTAGAGGCTACACTTTGATTAGGCTTTACTGTGCAGAAATAAAATAGTTTTTGATTTATGTTTTGCTTTATAATTAATTCATTATTTTCCCATTTTATTTCTTATTACACATCATCCCATGTTCTTACTTGGTCTCTTTTAAAATCATAGCTTATTTTTTAATTATTTGTTGTTATACAAAAATATGTATATTAAGGTACATACATACATACACACACACACACATATATATATATATATATATTATTTATGTAGTTAAGAATGTATATTCCTAACTACAGTGTATTTCTCTTACTCTCAAAATTTCACATTGGCACAGACTTTTTGAAATAGGGTTGAAGTTTAGTGGACTTTCTTTTGTACACATTTTCACTTTGTTATCACAAATGTTTTATTCATATTTTAAAAAATGAAGTATTTAAAGTGTAATTCTGTTTGAATTGAGGAAAGAATAGCAACAATCATGAAAAGGAGAGAGGTGTGATAACAGATGTCAGCAATTATAGTTACTTTGAAGCTGACTTATGAGTTTTGGAAGTTTGTGGACTACATTGTAAAATTTTTCTCAAAAACTATTTAAAATATGAAAGGTAAAATCACTGATTATATTGGATGCTCAAAGGGACCATATATATAAGCTTCTGAATCATAACTTCCAAATTAGTGTGAAGAGATGAAAAGCAGACACTATCCCTACACTCATCAGGGGAACTGATGGTACCATGTAGGTCCTGCTTGGTGATCCTGCAGATGCTAAGGACTGCTGTAATTGAGGTCTTTTTTTTTTTTTTTTTTTTTTTTTTTTTTGTATTGTCACATATGAGTATGGAGGTGTTTCTGGGACCACATTACATATAATCTCCAGAGGCCATAATCATAGCCTTCATATTATTTTGAAAGGTATAAAATTGGTCCTGACCTCATCAAGTACATAATTTAAAGGTTATTCTCATAAGTATGTAAATGGATTTTAGGACAAACATCAATAAAACAGTCTACTCAGTTTGGGGGGTAAATTTTCTGGACACCAATGAGTAATATTCTTGAAGATCTATTTAATAAATTGTGAGGAAAATGAAAGTTGAAGGAGAGAGTTCTTTTATACATTATGGAGACAACCAAATGCATCCAATTTTCTCTCAACCCTGAGAGAAAACTTTCAACCCTCAACGTTTTTCTCTCCCTGTAAGTTCCCACTCTAGAAAATGGTGACTTATTGTCTGACCAATTCAGGCCTAAAATAAGTGAATGGCTCAGCTGTCTGTCCAATCTGTCCATCTTTCTTGTCATTTCTACTCAGCTCCCTTTTACTCTGCAGTTTGAAATCCTTATTTTAAAAGATATTAATCAACTCATTTGAAATAAAAAAAATAATGATCATTTTCCATCGATTTGTGAAACAAGTGAATTTCAGTTTGACTTTTTAGGATAATGGAAACTAAAATGGATTGTTTTCTTAAAAGAAAATCTATTTGTTCCCCTTCCCTTTGGTTGAATTGCAAAAGCAGTTAAAACTGTTTTGAGATTATCATTTATATTATGAAAAGAGAATTATCAAGGTTATAAGAGATGATTGTCATTTTTCCATTTTCAATGCAGATTATTTCTAATCAGAATTATTACAATTAGAAGTTACAGGTTTTATTAAGTATTACTTCTGGGAGGGGGATCCAAGATTGCGGCAATCAGCATGCACTATATCTGAGGGGCACAGGCTCTGAATTCCGATATTGGTGAGTGGAGGTGCTGATGAACTCAGAACAATGACATCAAGGCTTCCAGGGAAAATGGGGACTAACTGTGAACTGAGACAATTTAGATTCATGTCACCTGCGAACTTCTCCTGGGACTTCACCAGGAACTTCACCGAGGACTTCTCCTGGGGACTCAATCCCTAGGTGCTTTCCCTTATCCACTCCGTATTCTCTCCTTGGCAGAGGCAGCATAGGGGGCCCACAGTGCCCACCACAGAGCATAGTGCCCGGCCCACAGTGCTGCCTACTCCTAGCAAAGAAACCTGGCTCAGGATGTGGGACAGAGAATACTCACCCCCACCACCACCAGGCACTACCCTTGGGACCGGCTGCCATTATCCTTCCCTCAGAGAGGGGGAGGCTACGGAGGCAGCCTGCAGCATCCACCACAGAGCACAGTGTCTAGCCTCCAGTGCCGTGGCTCCTAGCACAGCCCACAGTGCTGGCGGGCACCAAGTTCTGTGGCTACAACACCACTGAGCTGACTCTTAACCTACACCCACATTTGCCCCAGCAGGATCAAATCTGAGAGTAGAGAACAAGGGGAACCCCTCTGCTTTCAGATTGGCCCTGCTAGACAGTGAATGTGCCTTCAAGTGAGTGCTTGCAGAGCCCCAAATCCAGGGACCCTCTATGCAAGAGTCAGACATAAGATCCCTACCACCCATGTCCCTATTGTGGGCAACAGTGATTCTTGGGACAGCATTCTCAACATTGAAACATCTGCTCTCCAGGTCTACCAGTGAATTCCAGGCAGACAATTCCTGGAGCCCAGATCTGTATACCAGTGGCCTGTAGGCCACTGAGGAAGTCAGGAAATCTGCACCTGTGCACTGCACCCACTAACAGCACCTGCGAATAGCTGCAGCATCACATTCCTACCTTAGGTACAGCAGAAACACCAATGAACACTCTCAAACAAGTGGACCTCTCTCTTCTTCCTCAGAAACATTCCAGACACCAGAAAAATTTGGACCCAATTTGAAGTAAACACTCCAGGAATAAACAGTGAGGGTTGCAGATAAGCAGATGGTCAGAGGCTGCTGTAAGAACACACTCAGCAAAAATCATAACATGGCTTCACCAGCAACCCCCAAAATCAATGGACACTTCAATTCATCAGAAACACAAGAAAATGACTTTAAAACTATGCTTATCCAGTTATTAGAGGCACATAAAGAGGAAATAAACAAATCTCTCAGAGAAGTAGCTACACAAATAGAGGCACATAATGAGGAAACAAATAAGTCTCTCAAAGAAATAGCCACACAAGTAGAGGCAAATAAAGAGAAAATGGACAAAGCTCTCAAAAAAAATACAAGCAAATACAGCCAAACCAGTAGAGGCACAATTAGTGGCATACAAGGAGGAGAATATATATATATATATATGCCGTCATAGAAGGTAGGAATCCACATTCAAACAGATGAAGGAAATGATACAAGAAATGAAAACAATTAGAATCAATAAAGAAAACACAGAGGAAAGGAAAACCTGGAGCTAGGGAACTTAGAGAAAAGATCAGGAACCACAAAGGTAAGCATCACCAATAGAATACAAGAGGTGGAAGAGAGAATCTCATCTGTTGAAGATACATTTGCAGAAATTGATATGTCTCTCAAAGAAAAAGTAAAATCAGAAAAGTTCCAAACACAAAAAAAATCCAAGAAATCAAGGACATCATGATAAAGCCTAAGAATAATAGGAGTAGATGAAAAAGAAGATACCAGGCTCCAAGGTCCAGAAAATATTTTCAAGAAAATCATAGAAAAAAAATTTTCCAACTTAGAGATGTCCATAAATATACAAGAGGCCTACAAAATAACCAAATAGACTAGACAAGAAAAGAAACTCCTTGTGTCACATCATAGTCAAAACACTAAACCTACAAAACAAAGAAAAAATATTAAAAGCAACCAGAGAAAAAGGCCAAGTAACATATAAAGGTTGACCTGTCAGAACCACACCAGATTTCTCAACAGAAACTATGAAAGTGAGAAGGGCCCAGGCAGATGTCATGCAGACTTTAAGCAACCATAGATGCCAAGCTAGTCTACTATACCCAGCAAAGATTCCAATCAACAGAAGTAGAAAACAAAATATTTCATGACAAAACCAAACTTAATCTACACAGCAGCCCAGCCTTACAAAAGATGCTAGAAGGAAAACTCCAATAAAGTGAAAACATCTACAACCAACAAAACATAGGATATAGATAAGTACACAACAAAAAATCAAAAGAATAGAAGCAATGAAACACAGTAACACCACCAATCCCAAAACAAAAGAAATTAACATTAATTGGTCACTATTAACTATCAACATCAGTGTACTTAACTCGCCAATAAAAAGACACAAACTAACAGAATGGTTGCAGAAACAGGATTGAACATTCTGCTGCATCCAAGAAACACACTTCTGCAACAAACAAACACTATCTCTGAGTAAAAGGGCTGGAAAAAAGGGTTTTCAAGCAAATGGACCCAGAAACAAGCTAGGGTAACTATCTAATAAAATAGACTTTAAAACAAAATTAATTAAAAAAAATGAGGGGCACTACATTCTCATCAAAGGAAAAAATCCACCAAGACGACATCACAATTCTGAACATCTGTGTCCCAAATACAAGACTGCCTTACATTTGTAAATGAATGAAATATTATTAAAGCGTAAATCACACATTGATTTCAACACCTTAGTAGTCAGAGACTTAAACATTCTATTGTCACCAAGGGACAGATATCTAGAGAGAAGACAAATGGGGAAATAAAGGCATTTACAGAGGTCCTAAATCAAATGGACCTAATAGATGTCTACAGAACTATTTATCCAAATTCAAAACAGTATACCTTCTTTTCAGCACCTCATTGGACCTTCTCCAAAATAGACCATATAGTTGGTCACAAAGCAAGCTTCAATAGATACAAGAAAATCAAAATAATCCCTTGTATTCTATCTGACCACTATGGACTAAAGTTGGACCTCAACAACAATGAAAATAGCACAAAGCCTACTCACTCATGGAAACTGAACAACTCAATGACAGTTGGGTTAGGAAAAAATAAAGAAATAAAGACTTCCTAGAATTCAATGAAAATGAAGGTACAACATACCCAAATTTATGGGACACAAAGCAGTGCTAAGAGGAAAATTCATAGCACTAAGTGCCTTCAAGAAGAAATTTGTAGATATACCACAATTTGTGCATCCATTTCTCCACTGAGGGGCAACTGGGCTGTTTCCAGCTTCTGGCTATTACAAATAAAGCTGCTATAAACATGGTTGAGCAAATGTTCTTACTGTG